AAATTTATCCATAATTTGTAATTAGTTCAAATTTTTTTTTAAATAAAAATTAGATGATCTGAAATGATAATTTCATAGTGCAGAATTTGTGCGGGATTTTGTGCGCAATTGTGCGGGATTGTGCGGAAATTTACAATTGTACAGGATTTATGCGCAGTGCGGATTTGCGCACATATTAAGAAAGTATTATGTGCGGAAAATCATCAGTCATGTGCAAACGCACATGACCGCACTGCTAAAATCACATACTATACATGGCTATGAGTACTCACTTAATCTGATTATAAAAATATCATTCTACACAATCATCATCTGGGATTATAAATTTAATAAATAATAGTAATAATCACTAATCTTTAAGAGAATATCCATGAGTTTTAAATATTTTTCTGAAATCTAATTGTAATTTTTTTTCACTACTATAATTGCCTGATGAATTATTTCTCTTAACTTATCTTTTGAATATCACGTATTATCTTCTATTAGTTGAAAAATAATAGAAAATGTGATAATATGATTTGAAGGTGAATCAAATAAAAAATTATAAATATTTTTATATAATGTAGAAAAAGATATAATGACGAAAAAATATAGTATTAGAATTTTGTTAAAAAAATAATATAAGCGACAAATAACTTGAATTCAATATATCTGTCCTTTTAAATCTCTGATGATTTTTTTATTCATGTACTTTCTAACTTGCATTTATATTAGGAGGAAATAGATAGAAAAATATGTAAGGCACTTTACACCAAAATTTGTGTTAGAGAATAAGGCATGTGAAATGTGTATTAAAGATCTTGACATTTAGAATGGTGTTAGGGACAATGCATATACAGACTTTTTTTTCACTTGATCGCAAAAAGATCAACTTAGATTACGCATATATAGATACTATTTTCTACTCAGAATATAATAGAAATATTCTATTCTTCAGCTGGAGACGAGCAAATATATATATCAGTAAATGCTATTTTGCTAAAAATTATTCAACTAAATGTTACAACGAAAAAATTCAAAATATTTTAGGTGTAAAAATTATTTTATCACACAAATAGTTACATAGAGTTACAGATGATTTGTGATATATCACCTATTACATCATATATATTTTAATGAGGATTGAAAACGTGATAATTTATGTTGTACATGCCTACATGTATTATGATAGAAAAAGATTTGCTAGACATTATTTTCTTGCTAATCAGTTTGCAAGACTTAAAGTATCAAGTCAAAAAAATCCCAACTCTGGTGACGAGAGCATATATATTATTTTATTTTGACAAAATATCTATTGAATTTTTTAACAAGATAATTTTTAAGATCCTGTAAAGATTCTATTATATATCTCTATAAAGGATAATCAATTTGGAGTCTCCATTGTAGAATATAAGCTTATCTGTAACCTTTTTGTTCTAATATTTTCTTAATAAGATCATATGCTTCTTTATCTAATCATTCTCTTAACTGAGATTTCTTTTTTTTTTATCCAAAGACTAGAATAATAATTAATTTATTTCTTATATACCATAATCTCGGCTAGATTATGTTTATCAATAAAGTATTGATAACTATTTGTTTTTTTAAGCAAAACATATTTTCTTTAGTTTCAGGATTTATTTTCATTTGAGAAAACATAAGTATACCTAAGAATTTCTTTCTATCAGAAGTACCATCATTCCTTATCGCTTCTCAAACTCATTTTGCCAAAGATTCAGGTCTCTTTTTATAATTCCTATAAGCTCGCTAGATAACTGTCGCATAGAAATTTTCAAAGCCATAATTATAATAGTATTTAGAAATCAAGAATCCCCAAGATCGCTTCATTGATCTTCCTGAAATAATACTTCATTAGTATATAGATTTCAGAGGAAACATACCAATAATGTTGTTAATCAGCGCGAAACCTTGGCCTTGGAAGACTATTTACGAATCATAAGACCTAATCAGGCATAGGAATCCAAGTCGATTAACAACACTACACACCAATCAGTTCTCATACGAGAAAAAAATAATTGTCTACATTTTGCGGGTCATTTAATACCCTAAACGTTTTTTATTTACAATACATTGAGCCTGATCTTAAAGGGATCGCTAAAATAAATTACATGATGCGGAACTTGATCCATGATACATGACGATTTTTTTATGCCCCAGTCTTAAAGGGACCCGCTTCATCATGATAGTCTATCCTATTCATTGCGTCTGTTCTATTCCACTATATTCATTATTTTTTATCCTGGGAAAAGGAAAAATTTTTTTCATTAATATACTTTAAACGTTGCACAGCCCCTATTCTTCGGCAAGAATTTCTCCAATATCATACTGCGCAACTGGCCTATATCTGACCATTCGTATAATTCCTGTGCTATGTATTTGTTAATACAAATATAGTGCATAAGGTAGATCATGTGTGAAATTGCAAGTATGTTGTACTGCGCATTTATCATAGATCGTTGGGATTAGTATACAAACATGATGTTAGAAAACCAATAACCTTGTGAACGAACACTTTTATTATTTCACAAATTGCAATAAAATACTATTAAAGATCATAAGTATAGTATATATTATTATGAAGAAAACTTCAAAGAAGACAAAATACCACTAGAAATAATTGAATTGTCTTCTGATAATAAACTGAAGGAAAGCAAGTATTGATTTTGAAAAAAGCTTAGAAAAGTACTAAAATCAACATTACAAAGAATATATGCTAAATATATGAACAAAAATTCATTTTTCATTTACTTTAACTCGCTTTGAAGGATGTTCACTGTTTTTATCATAAAGATAAACTTGCGCTGTTAATATCTGAGCAATATATGTTAATATTTCTTTTTCGTCCGCCAATTCACCTTTGAAATTGCATGTATATTCTTTGCTAATATGAACTTCCGGATTTTCTGATGATCCACTCCAACGGATAAATCGCCATAGCTTTCCAGTGGAGGCTATTCCATAGATCAATAATTCCTCATATCCTAGTTTATTTAATTGTTCAATTCCACTCTGTGCCTGCACAATAGCTTGAGCAGATCCTTGGTTCATGTCTTCAGCTTTAGCTTCGCATAAAAACAACAAAACTTCAACTAACTTTACCCAGTAATCTAAAGGTCCATTCCCGTGACTCCCGTCTAGTCCTTGCTCCACGTCTAATCTTACCGACTTATTTATATGGGTTCGTATATAATCAACTGCATGCGTCATGAATGTGTCAATGTATATACGATTCTTCGTTTCATTTCCGAATTCATCCCGAAGTGAACTAAGCTTAACTTTAATTTCGCCAACGAATTTTGTCAATTGATCCTGATTAAATGGTGGATCTAATGGGGGAAGCTCTGTCATGTCAAGTACCGGCATATCGGAAAGTGAATTGTATGTCGGTTTTTTTAGTATGTCCCTAAACACGTCTTTAAGCTTCCAGTCACTATATTTCTTTTTGCCCTCGATAAAAACTTTTAATTTAAGCATAACGTTGTTGTCTTGTGCTGTTTGAGACTTTACTACGGTGTTAAAGTTGTACGCGTTCCAGATCTCCGTTCCATCATTTACAAAATAAATAGTTCCTTCCTCTAAATCCTTAAATATTTCTCTAGCAAGGGCTTTCAAATGATCAAAAGCGCCACTGGTATGTGGTATTTCACGTTTACCTTGCTTTTGTCCATATACGAATGTCACCTTAACTGCATTTGAAGGAACTAATAAGTACTTGCTTGAAGTGGAAAAAACAAAGCCAAGAAAATAAACCTCACTTACTGTTTACAGCCGAGATCGGGTAGCGAACAATTATTGTTGTGTCTGAATCTTTGCCAACATCTAGGGAACTAAGGTTGGTTCTTGGATCAAGACGTTCGAGACTTTCATCAAAAAGCGCAATCAGTTTATTTTCAATACTATTGAGAAAAGGATAATGCTCGCGAAGAACTTTCTTAAAGTCATCCAAATCCGCTTTTGAAAACTCATCCATATTTGCAAAATCATCTTCTTTAAAAACAAACTTCTCGGCATCTTCGTCGCCCTCAAACAGGACCCACATCTTTATTGAACGAGAACTTGGACGAGAACCTTGAGGACGTTTACTTGGGGAGCCTGGCTGTTCTATAAATTCAAACTCTCTCTTATCTTTGTTGGACATTTTTTACTGCGGATAATACCAATTAGGTTAGGGTGTTTCAAAACAATAAAAAAAACAACCAGAATAGGTTAGAGAATAGAAATTGGTGAACTATCTTATATTACTGCGCGGATGTAAAATTGCAAATCCAAAACTTTTGAAAATTTGGGAAAATTTTAATTTTTTGCAGGTATATATATGTATGATTTATAAATAATTATTAATAATTATCATGCAAATATAATATCAAAAGTGCATTTCTAACTCGATTTGTTTCACAATTGAAAGACAATAAGCTAAAATTAGTAAAAGCTCGAGTGGTTTAGTATCAATCAGCCACGGCAATTTTTTGGTGCATTATGAATCGTCCCTATATTTCGGCAAGGATTTTTCCGATCGTCGTGGGAAAATTTCTATATTTGAAAACGTCTCCATCTTAACGCACGCCCAAGGCGGATTTCCAACACCGGTTGGGTTTGATTGGAGTCAATTTGAAATTTACTAGCAAATAGAATATGCGAATCTCTCTGAGAATAATGAATTACATGTATTATAACGTTATTGAATATAGGAGATCGAAACTTTGGTCTTACCATATCTCAATAAGGAAAATTCCATTATCTATCTTTTTTGTCGATTACGATTAACGATGTCCTTGAGTTTTTTGACATCTTTATACCAGCTGGTGCTATGAAACCGATGCTGAGCCCTTTGCACCTCCAACGCAATTTGATATTTTCGAAAGAAAGCATCAAGCTCTAATCCGTTCAAGAAAGTTCCTCATTAAGAATTTCCTTAGCTATCTAGTCTGGAATTTGATTCTTTTTTAAGTTGATCTATAGCCTGTTCCATCCATGGGAAAGATTGGACATCTCGATTTTATCACATAATGCGAGAAGCTTTGCTATTAACGAGGTTAGTAATTTAATTTTGCAACTCTAACTTTAAGTTCAGCATTCGAAACTCTAGTCTGGTGCTTATAATACCGTTCTAACTCCTCGATTCTACTCCTGAGTTCGGCAGTCTCAGCTTCATTCTTGGTTCTCTCTTCTACAACCTGCTTTAAAAATTCAGATGACATGTTTGATAAAAATTTTATACAAGATGTGAAATATTCAAAAGTTCGTTAGTATATAGAGAAACCATCAAGAAAAAACTCTCGTGATATTCTGACCATTAGTCAGGAACTTTTGCCAAGAAAAATTTTTTTATTAATACATGCAAAAAATAAATACAAAGCTCGGGATACATGACGAAGTTTCTATTCTATGACTGCGGACTAATGTACATGATTACTCCTGTTTTTCAAATACTCTAAAATCCGTTGCCTTTTCGTTACCGGCTCCTTTTCTATGTCCACCCTATCCTTCAATAAACCAACAATAACCTCCATTACCTTCTTCACATTCTTGCGCAACTGCTTCTCTTCTTCCGAATTCTTTTTCAAGGCAGACTCGGTAAAACGGATATTAAGAGGATCTTTACTTATACAGGAAAATCCATTCGAGGCAAAAAGAATAAAATACCATTCCATGGCTGTTGTGACGATCTCATAGATATAGTCGTAGTCATTCCCAATGCTTCGTCCGACTTTCGTTTTCTCATATTTTATTCACCTATAGTGCGCTTTCACATTGAATCAAGTTCTGGGCGAAACATATAACCACTAGCTAAGGTGCCAAGGTAAGCTCTTTTTTTGGTTATTCTTTAACGATATATAGCGAGGCGTAAAGGATGGTTGAAATATACTTGCAACGCATGGCTTCATTGCTATCAGCAAGCATAGTTCCCATATTTTCCAACCTGCACTTTATTTCCTTTATACATTGTGTTAATTCTTCTTTGTCATCTTCAAGTTTATAGGTTGCCTAGAAAATTGTAAGGTGTAAGCATCTCATATTTGTTTGAAGGATATATGAATTTTATCAAGAAAAAAATTTAACTTCTCTTTCAGTAAGCTTAGTTTACGAGAAAACTTACAGGTGGAAACTGACAAATAGTGCCTATACCATTGCCCACCAATATCATATTTTGCTAACACCACCTTCAAATTGCAGTAGGTTGAGAACGTATATTTCAGCTTTTCTTTAAAGACCTGGACCTTTTTTGTGAGAAGTATTACTGATCTAATGCAAAACCAATACTATGAAAATTTTCTTTATTCAGGTTAAAGAAAGGAGAAGTCAGTGATTTCTTTCTTGCGAAGAATATCGAAGTGTTTTTTTCAAGCTCAAGGTTTTGTTCTTTCAAAAAATCAATAAGGATTTCTATATCCTAGTTTTCAACCAAGAGTTGTGTAAGGTAGATATAGCACTTTTATATGATTATTAGGCTTGAACAAAAAATAGTATTACATTCTGAAGTGAGAAAATTTATTTTTAGAAAATATATATTTTTATGTTATATAGGCATTACATGTTCTTTTGAGATCATATCATTACACGTGACTTACTCCTTTTATATATTAGATAAGAATGTGAATTTGATCCTGAATAAAAAGCATATTGAAATATTTAGAGATCTTTTCAGCTGATTCCATAGGTTTATCTTCCTTAGAATTAACATAGAAGACGAAGCCAAGGGAGAGAATTTGGTAACCTTGATTTACTAAAAGAGTTTTAATAGCAAATTCGAAAATAGTGACCTTATCTTTCTTACAGAGTGAGATTATATAAGTTATTTTATTTTCTTCATCATGAAGGCAACACTTAAGATTGATAATACTCTTATGAGTCATTTTCATTTTCTAAATGCAAGAAACTATAATAAAGAAAACTCGTTCTCATACATATATAACATCTGGCATATATAGCACATATCTTATTTTGCGTTATTTTACAGAAAATATTTTTTGTGAAAAGTTTGCTGAACTTTCACATATTCCTATGATACTAGAAGTCTATACTTGACAATCATATGATTTTGTTTCAAATTTTCTGACACTAATCTAATATCACATGATACTATATTAGTCAATAAAAATGATTACATTTTTGTGTAACTAAATAAAATGACGATTAGCAAAAAATGTGTCTGTAAATTTCTTTAAATATTCTCGAATATTAGCAATGAAAAAGTAATTGACACTACTTTGTATAGAAGTTATGTAGAAATCATAAAACAGCTAAGTATTAATGTATTAATTTTATTCTTTATAGATTATTCTTATCGTCTAATTGATCCATTATTCTTTCAATATTTTCTGGTAGGCGACGATATGATTTATATTTGCTAACAGCTTATTCAGCAGTTCTACCTTCTAACCCTTTATTATATGTATCCATGTACACTCCCCTCCAAAAAATATCCAACCACCCATCGATCATTGCAAATCCTAACATATTAAAATTTGAATTACGCCACAACTAATGCATATAAATAAAAAAT